ATATTTTAAGTATCTAAGTGATTTAAAAACTTAACTTAAACATTAGGACGTCTTGTTTTTCTCTCCAAAAACAATGATATAAGTAAAGGAAAAAATACTAGTGACTAAACTTAAATTTATATTACAAAACCTAATTTATTTTCAAATGAATGTAGTAGATAACATAATGTTTAGGCAATAAAACACACTTTAATATTACATCTTACCGTGGCTGTGGTAACAAATCTCAAAAGGTAACAAATAATTCTTCTTACACTATTAATACAGATTACTTAGCCTATTCGTGCATTTTCGTAAAACACGATATACATAATGCCGGCTGTCCGTTGCAGTCTTCGCAAAATGTAAGTCTCTTACTTGCTTTTGCCGATGCCACTTTCCTACCTTTCTCATCTTTAAGCGTTTTGTAGCAATTAAAACATCGTTTTCTGCTTTTTCTCGCATTTCCTTCATATTTCCCTAGCCTATGGCTACTTCGTTTTCTCAGACTCCTATTACACGGACTATGATGCACTACTCTTATTTCTTCAGTGGCATTTTCTTCTGTATCGGATAGCAATCCTTGTATAAGTTTTTCTCTAAATCGTAGCATATCAAGTTTGTTTTTAGCTTGGTTGTGAGAGCTATGTATAACCCATGCATTAACAACCATATTCCGAGAATAATCTCAAAAATAACCTTCTTATACCACTTCAGAGTTATTCGTAGCCATGTGCAATAAGAAGATCTAAAATGATAACTCCGTTTTTGGCCTGATTGTAATCAATGATAGCAGGGGGTTTTAGTACTTCTTCACCTTGTCGGTTTTTAGGTCCACTCGGAATCTGTTAATCAGTGTGATGTGGTACAGTACTTATTATTAGTACTTGCCACTTCTCTACCCGTTTCAAGACACGAACCCCATTTTCGTTCTGCTCGCCATAAATATATCCCTTTTTCAGTTTTTTTAGCGCATATATCTTTAGGATTCCCCTTCTTGATACTCCGTAAGGTGCCACAGACATATGTTCCTTCAGTTAAGAGGTCTTCGCATAGTTTGACACTTGTATGGAAGTTGTCTATAAACAAAATTCTTCCCGAATGGTTAAGATTCTACATTAACTCCATGCATATATTATATGTATGCTTCTGCGTGTTCGTTGCTATAGTGGCATCATTTTTTTCCTGCTTAAATACGCAAATCGTACGTATAACCTTCAATAGTATATATTTTGTAGAGTTTCACTTCGTATTTGTGTGTTTTTGCTGGTAAGTATTGAAGGAACACTAACCTGACTCTCCAAGGTACCATGCTCTCATCAATCACGGCTTTCTGATCGGAAACAACTGTCTCTGTTTAACTGTTTACAAATAAGATTTCTTCTTCTTCTTCAAGTTCCACTCCTATCGGAGATTGGAAATCATTCTGGCAATTATAATTTTATTGGTTACTCGCCTGAATAGTTCAATTGAACTGCATCCAAACCACTCACGGAGATTGCGTAGCCACGAGATTTTACGTCTTCCTACGCTTCTTCTACCTTTGATTTTACCCTGCATTATATTCCTTAGTAGTTCGTACTTTTCACCTCTCATGATGTGCCCCAAGTATTCCAATTTCCTGATCTTTATGGAATTTAAAACTTCGCATTGTTTTCCTACTTGTTCGAGAACTTGTTCGTTTGTTTTGCGATCCATCCATGATATTTTCAAAATGCGTCGGTAACACCACATTTCGAATGCTTCTAGGTTTTTAATGTTACATTTTTTAAGTGTCCAAGCTTAAACTCCATACAAAAGGGTAGAGAAAATATAACATCGAAGCATTCTTATCCGGAGCGATATATTGATATCGCGATTACAAAAAAGTTTTCTCATTCTATTAAAAGTTGACCGCGCAATTTCAATGCGGCATCTTATTTCTTTTGTCTGATCAGTATCTTCTGTGATCCATGCTCCAAGGTATTTGTACGAAGATATTTGTTCAATTTCTGTATTATCTAGTACTAGCTTAACTTTGATGTTTTGTACTTTTGTAAATACCATGAACTTGGTTTTCTTCAAATTGATTTTTAGTCCATAATCGTTGCAATATATATTTAGTTGTTCAGCAAGGTGTTGCAGTTCTTCTAGTGTTCCTGCCAAAAGGACGGTGTCGTCAGCATATCTTATGTTATTAAGTGGCTCACCGTTTATTATAAGGCCCTCACTGATCTCGGCAAGCGCTAATTCTGAGATGGCTTCACTGTATAAATTGAATAACAAGGGTGATAAAATACACCCTTGGCGGACCCCACGGCGAATCTGGATATCCTTGGTCAGTTCGTTTTCAACTTTCACTTTTGCTGTTTGATTCCAATAGAGGTTACAGATGATTCTAATGTCTCTACTGTCTATGTTTTTATTTAATAAAATTTCTTTAAGTCGATTATGCTGCACTCTGTCAAATGCCTTCTCAAAATCAATGAAACAGGCATATACTTCCTGATTAATATCTAAGCATCTCTGCGAAAGAACACTTACTGCAAACAGTGCATCTCGTGTTCTCAGACCTTTCCTAAATCCCATTTGTGTATTACTTATGCCTTCATCTAATTTCTTATGTATTCTATTGTGAATTACTTTTAAAAACAATTTCAAGACATGACTCATTAAGGCTATGGTGCGATGTTCATTGCACTCCTTTGCATTGGCTTTTTGGGGAAGCAGTATGAATGTTGATTTGAGCCATTCTTTAGGTATTATACCTGTTCTATATATGGTATTGAATAGATCCAAAAGAAGATCAATGGATTCAGTATTCACAATTTTAAGTAATTCGATAGGAACTTCATCAGGCCCGAGAGATTTACCATCTTTAGCTTGTTTCATTGCATATTCAATTTTTTCTCGTATAATGTCAGGCCCAGTATCATCCTTAAATTCTTTTGGTGCTTCTGTTCTTTCTTTGTCTTCAAATAGTTGTGCTATATATTGTGTCCATCTCTGCATTTTTTGGTTTATATCTGTTATAAGTGCACCCCTTTCATCTCTTAGTTGCCTAGTTTGAAGTGTTTTTCTCATTCCTGTTAATTCTCTAATTCTTTTATGCATGTTAAAAAAGTCATATTTTTTCTCAATTTCTTCTAGTTCTTGACAGTGCTCATGTAACATTCTCTCCTTAGCTTCTTGTATTCTCTTTTTTATTAATCGATCAGTTTCATTATATTTAATTGGATTTTTTGTTTTAAATGATTTTCTTTCATTCATTAATAGTAGTATTTCTTCAGTCATCCAATCTTTATGTTTTCTATTCTTTGGTTTTAAGTTTTCATTTGCTGTTTTAATTATTGCTGCTTTTATATTTTCCCATTTCTGATCAATATTATAGCTACTTTTATTCAGTTCTTGGGCATTACGTATATTTTCAGTAAGAGTTTTTACAGTTTGTTCCTTTGTTTGTGATTCCCTTAATCTCTTAATATCAATTCTACTTTGTGTGGGTTTTTTAACCAGTTTTAATTTGGTTCGTAATGTGACTACTATGGGGTTATGGTCTGAACCAATGTCTGCTCCAGGGTAAGTTTTGGCAGACAGTATAGAATTACGAAATCTTTGTCTAATAAGGACAAAGTCAATTTGATTTCGGATTATTCTATTCGTTGTATCACCGGGAGATTTCCATGTATACAACCTTCTTTTTGGTAGCTTAAAAAGTGTATTAGCTATTACAAATTCTTCCGTCTGGCAAAATTGTATCAAACGGTCACCACGTTCATTTCTATTTCCTAGACCATATTCCCCCACATATCCATCCACTCTTCCCTGGCCGACTTTGGCATTGAAGTCTCCCATTACTATTGTAGTGTGATGTTTTTTCATTGATTTTAAGACTTGTTCCAAATCATGGTAAAACAGTTCGATATCGTCGTCATCTTTATCTGCCGTAGGAGCATAAACTTGAATAAAATTTACTATACCTATTTTAGACTGTAGTTGTATTGATAAGATCCTATCAGAATAGGGAGTAAAACTTATCACAGAGTAATTGACCTTTTTTGCAACTAAGATAGCAACACCGTAACGATGATTGACCTCGTTGTTACCTGAATAATACATGGTTCCATTATTTGTAATTTGTTTGCCTGAACCTGGCCACTGTACGTCACTTATACCTAAAACATCAATTTGAAGGTTTTCCATTTCAAGCAGTACGTTCGCTAGTTTACCACTTGCATATAAACTTCTGACATTCCAGGTTGCTATTTTCAATGTCTTAAGTCCACAGGGATTTCTCTGGTTTACGACCTGGGAGGCCCTGTGATCTACAGTTATTCCTCCCCTGCCGGATCTTGGATTCCGTGCTCCATAATCAGTAAGTTTGTTTACTCTACTTGTCATTTGCCATTCATGACTTTACTAGGGGTACTCTAAGAGTCTTTAATGCAGTGGTTCCCCGTTGCCTTCTGCAGCCTTACGCCGTTGACATATTTTTCGATTCATCCGCCTCTAGGACCAGTTTCCCAACCCTTGGACAAAAGAGTGCCCTTCTCTTATTTTCATTCAATAAGATTTACAACATCTTTAATTTTCGAGAGTCTGTCTTGGCCAGCTAGTGGATCATTCTTATTACAAAAATGTAAGCATTTTAATAACTGGTCAAATCTGTTGCGATTTATAATATCTTTTATTTGCTTATTAGTATTCATTTCATCATTTGACCAATAGAGGCGCATTTTAGTAGTTGATTAACCCACATTATTAGCAAGATAGCTAGAAATTTTTTCGTTTTTGCTCTGTTAGTATCTGTCCAAGTTTTCAACAGAGACCGTGGTCGCAGTGGCTTCGATTGAATGATCTGATATGCGTTTTCGTTAGTTTCCTCTACTATGATGTCAATGATGTCAATGGATCAGTAATAAACTGTTTGTAGATAGCGTAAGGCTGAGATAAATCTAAATTGTTAACTTTCAAACCGGTTTGTCCGAAGAACTGAAATTTAGAGATAAGTATGTAAATGGTTCCCATTTGACAGAATTTACTGTTTCTTGTACGCCTGCATCGCTTGCCAAACTGTTGTCACTAGAGGTATTGTCAGAACTGTTATTATCATAAATAACATTTTTTATCACAAAATGATCATCTGAAGGCCTATAGGACTCTTCAGAATTGTCAAACGGGTCGGATTCTGTGGATGATAGATGTTGAAATATTCCTTGTAGTTCAAAAGTAGAGGGATGTGGATTTTCCGGAGATACTGCTGGCGGATTTAGATATTCCGGTGATGCTGCAGTTGGACTTAAATTGTCTGTGGATGTTGCAGGTGGGCTAAGATTTTTCGGGAATGCTGGAGACGGACTTAAATTTCTCAGAGATGGAGCAGTCAGACTGTGATTTTCTGGGGATGTTTTAGGCAAACTTAGATCTTCCAGGTATGCTGCTTCTTGAACAATTTGTTGATCTGCTTCCTTCTGTCCACGAGCCATTATTCTACGTAATCTGGAACTCATTCTCACAAGTTTGCTACTCGGATCTGCTATTTAACGATTATCTGAAATAAAATAATCTTATGTGTTTACGCATTCTTCTTAGAGTGCCCTCTCCCTACGGAGGTTGGCAATCATAATGGCTATTTTTATTTTAGAAAATGCTGCCCTAAACAAATAAATCGATCCGCATTGATACCAATCACGTAGATTCTTTAACCATCAGTTCTGCCTTCGGCCAACAGATCTTCTTTCTTGAATCTCTCCCTGTATTATCTCAAGAGCCTCAAAATTTCATATTTTGGACCCCTCATCACGTAGCCTAGGTATTCCAGTTTTCTGGTTTGTATAGTGGTGATTAGTTCTGTTTCTTTACCAACCCTCTCCAGTACTTCTTTATTTTTAATTCTATCAGTCCATGATATTTTTAATACTCTGCGGTATAACCAGAGTTCAAAAGCCTCCATTCTTTTTAAATTACATTTTTTTAATGTCCAAATCTCAGCTCCATGTAATAATATTAAAAATATATAACAGCGAATGGTACGTAGTCTGATCTCCAAATTTAGATTTTTGCATGTTAGGAGTGGCCTCATTCGTATAAGTGCTGATCTGGCAATCTCTATTCGCCTGTTTATTTCTACAGTACGATCATTGGTTTCATTGATTAAAGTTCCCAAGTACTAATATTTTTCTACTTGTTTTATCACGTTACCATTAATCGTCAATAGGTGATGTATATTTTGTGGTCTTTTTATAATTAGCATGTGCTTCGTTTATTTAGCGTTTATAGTAATTCCCATCTCAGCGCTATTCATACTCAAGCTTTCGATAAGACGTTTTAGATTCTCTATACTCGTCGCTATAATCACAGTGTTGTCTGCATATCGTAAGTTGTTAATTAATTTTTCGTTGACGGTGACTCCTGCTTCGATATTATTGAACGTATTTTGGAATATTTCTTCAGAATATAAGTTAAACAAAAGTGGCGATAAAACACATCTCTGTCTATCTCCTATATATATCTTCATTTCTTCTGAGTGTTGCCCACCAATTTGAACTATGGCACTTTGATTCCAATGTAATATTTGCACTATATTTATAATTTTACTATCAATGCTCTTGTTCATAATTATTGATATTAGTTTTTCATGTCTTACTTTATCGAAAGCTTTTTCGTAGTCAACGAAGCACAAACGTAGATCAACGTTTACATCCCGACATCACTGAATCAAGATGTTGATGCCAAATAGTCCTTCTCGAGTACCCATTCTATTTCGGAATCCGAACTGCGTCTCGCTAATATCCTCCTTTAGCCTTTCGTATATTCTCTTATGTATTACTTTCAGCATTACTTTTAACGTATGACTCATGAGGCTCAGTGTTCTATAATCAGAGCACTCTTTTTCAGAATGGTTATAAATGCTGACGAATTTACGCATACGTACCAATAGGTAATTCCGTGAGCCACCCGTGGGTCACAACGACTGTGAAAAATAATTTTAACTTGGGGACATTGTGTCAACAATTCCTTTGCACAAATTAGAATAGGAGGCAAAACTTCAAAGGCTTTCAGCATAAGCACCAGGCTCAGACAGGGAGACCCGCTGTCCCCATTACAATTTAACCTAGCACTAGAATACGCAATGTGAAAAATCTATACCAGAGTCAAACCAGACATAACTGCCAGAGGAGCAAAGATTATTCTCGCATTTGCAGATGATGTAGATGCAGTAACACAGACAACACTGGAAGTTAAGGATATAGTATCGAACTTTAAAGAAGCAACACTAAGCGTAGGCCTGAAAATAAACGAAGAAAAAACTAAATACATGGTCGTATCAAAAAAGGAACGACAGCGAATAAGACAAAACATTACCATAAACGATCATAATTTTGAGGTGGTCAAAGAATTCAAATACCTAGGAGTAACAATTACCAGTGAAGACACAGGAAAACGGGAGGTTAAAATACGAATACTGGCGGGGAATAAATCATTTTCTGCCATTCAACATCTAATGATGTCAAAGCTTCTCTCAAGGCATGCCAAAATCCAAATGTACAAAACCATAATACGACCAGCAGTGACATATGGAAGTGAAACATGGACATTGAGAAAGAAAGAAATCAATAAGCTATTAGTATGGGAACGCCAAATCCTGCGAATTATATATGTTCCTTGCAGGGACAGCGTGACAAATGAATGGAGGAGCAGATGAGGAGGAACAACAAGGAATTAGAGACTCTCTTCGGGAAAGACTGATTAGCAATGTGTTTTGGGAAAGACCAGATGGTAGAAGATCGACAGGAAGGCCTAGAAAAAGGTGGAAAGACGCAGTCAGGGAAGACCTGGAGAAGATGGAATTAAGGCCATGGGAAATAATAGCACAGGATCGGAATCAATGGAAGGCAATAGTAAACGCGGCAAAAACTCAAAAAGCCAATGATGATGATGATGACGTTGTGACCCACCGGTGGGTCATACACAAAAACACCCAAAACTTAAAAAAACACAATATGTTGATATAGGAATAACATTTATTTACATTAAAATAAAAAAATATACCTAAGAAAAATGTAAAAAATGTTACACATTTATGGATGGATCCATAAAACTACCCTCGTCGCTAACGTGTTAAGACACGTTTCTAATATAAAAGGTCGCAAAAATTAACTTACTAACTAGTTTTAATATATTTTAAATAAACCTTATATAATTTAAAACATCGTTAGCTCTGGAAGAATGTTTTTAAAATCATTAGCGTCACATTAATTCTTTCCAGGTGAATAGGTATTATTCCTATTATATATTTTTTACAGAAAGAGCTAATTTATTTCAATAATGTTAAAATAATTCTGATATATCTACGAAATTTATTATAAAACTATTTTAAAACCCAACCCAAATACCTTTTCGGCTTTTCGAGTTTGTTTGCTCTCACATTTTTATTTCTTAATATTTTACAACCCTTGCATCTTTTCCTATCATTTATTAAAGGACGTTTGTAGGATATCTTTGTTGGTATGAATTATTCATCGGCAAGTCTTTAATCGTGATTTAAACGCCGGAACCCGCCCACTATGAATATTTACTTTGTTTTTTAATACTCAAAATTGAGCCGTTTCAACTAAATCACTTCATAACTGCTGACAAATGGTCAGGATGGTAATTATAAGACAATAAAATGTACAGAAAAACAAATTGCCTCCAACAGTTTTACCCCGAGAGGGTAAATGTGTGACTGAGTGTGTTTTAGCCCTTGGTATCGTCGATAAAAACTGGCGGGTTTTGAAGGAGATAATAATAATGTTGTGAATGAATAGGTTTAATATTTATCATCTTAATTTTTTTCTAATAGTTCTCCACTCAAAGTATATATTAAGTATTTTATCCTTTCTCTAAATATACGATTAACGATTTGAAGACTTGAATGGGTGAAGAAAATATCGTAGTTTAAAAATATATTCCTTGATATACAATAATGTAATATTGAAAGAGAATAATAAGAAAGAACTAAAGACAGTTTGCATTAGTGTAAGTTCATATCTACAAAATAATCCTTTCTTCCTTTCTTACCATACTGAGTCAGGCACAAAATATTTGGATTCTCTGAAATAGGTATAGTATTGGTGGCGCCAAATAAATAGTAAAAAAAGAAAAGAACGAACGGTACTGAAAATTTATGGATGAGTGAACTTCGAAAAGAGATTAAATTTAAAATTAATACACCGTAAGACGACGACAAATAATATCGTAAGTTTCGAAATCCTAGAAAACAGTAAGTAAAGAGAAAACTTTGGAGATATTTGAGGAACACAAAATGAACTAGGTCAGCGTTGCTCAGAATCGGCGGAGATATGGATGCGGTTTTTTTGATATTGTCAAATGCATATGTTGAGATGTTACAAAATACATTAAATAAATACAATAAAAGTTACAGTAAAAAAATACATTGAGAGTTAGTTTTTTTTTTAATTTATATAAACATTAAAAAGTCACAAAAATGTCACAATATGTTAACAAGAACAGTATAATATAACACAATACTTCTATTCTATCGCTGATGTACAATATATCGAAACATGAAGCCAGGAGAAAAGGTAATTTGTTTTAATTGGAGCTTAGTGAACAATTTGAAGAAAAAAAAATATTTTTATTGAAAAAAGCATGGAAATTTAACTTTATTGTTAGAGACACCCAAATAATTAAAAAAAGCCACTATTTTTGACAGATAGGGATCTAATATTTCGAAGAACAAAACAAAAAATAATATGGCTTTGGAAATCAGTCTTTGTACAAAAAATCAACTACATAGATGACAAAAATACTTGTTTACAGGACAGAATAGAAAAGTCAATTTATTTATAAATCTAATTATAAGAAGGTTGGAAATAAAAAGTACCGATGACCATTGTAGGGGAACCTAGAATTAGTGAATATAAATGAAATATAATATGATATGAATTTACTTTAAAAATAAGGCTATTATCGAGCACAAGTTGATTAAATCTAGTCCAAGTACTTTCGCATAAAATAGCATCTTCAGGGACATTTCGTCAAAGTGTAAACTATCCGGCAAGCGTAGAATGTGGAAACATTAAAAATGACAAAATTGTACAAAACACTACACTAAAACGAGGACAAACAGTTTAAAATTACTTAAAGATTCTATGCTACATTCTTTGTCAGTATCTGCAGGGATAATCATAAGGAGGGATAATAATTTGTCCTCGTTTTAGTGTAGTGTTTTGTACAATTTTATGTCATTTTTAATGTTTCCACATTCTACGCTTGCCGGATAGTTTACATTTTGACGAAATGCCCCTGAAGATGCTATTTTAAGCGAAAGTACTTGGGCTAGATTTAATCAACTTGTGCTCGATAATAGCCTTATTTTCAAAGTTCATTTATTTGAGCATTCAACCTCATTTCAATGATATGAATTTGTTTAACTCACCATGTGGTTCCTTTTGGAAAGGATTTTACATCGAATGTGATGTATGCAGATTGCTAAAGTTCTCGT